CGTTTGTCCGTTTAAACTTAGAGACATCGTTATAAAGATAGAACATTGCCGTATAACACAGGGAAACGATTTGTCACCAAAAGCAAAGTTAGCCAAAAACAAAATACATTGCTAAGTAGATATTTTAGACTTTGGAGCAGAACTTTAGTAGATGCGTAGCTGTATCTTCTTCTTCGTAGATGAGTTCCAGCTTAAAGGAATCGCCGGTCTTCACTCCATTAACTTCACAGAACTCTATCCACTCTTTTCCCAATCTCATTCTTCCATATTTGTCCTCAGGTTTAAGACTTGTTGTCCTTTTCACACCGTATCGGTCCACTAGAGTTATCTTCCTCGCTTTCTCGATACCATTCGCTTTCAGAAATGTCGCGGGTAGACACTGCCATAACAAACTCTGAAGCATAACAAACTCCGACAACAAAAATGCTAAAAAAAGGATGGATAAAGACTTACTTACCAGTTTCCTGGTCTGGAGAGTGTATGTTGTGAGAGATAGTGTCAAGAGTCTGTATTGGCTTGTTGCAAATGAAGAAGAACACAACTGGATAACAGGTGTTGTACCGGTTTGCACAAGTTTGAAGGTCAATAAATCGTTGGCTCTTCGTCGATTTGCGCAGCAGAAACTTTTCCAACCGCTTTTGATGTAAACCCGACCGCGTGATTTGTAATTACCGAGGAGCAATCTCCATGGTTTCCCATATTCATTCAGTAGAATGATCTCACACTTACGATTCATTAGACCATTAGATCTGGAGAAATCCATAGGAAGCAACTGCAAAACTCACAGTGTACATGATTTAGATGCAAAAAACTCTTTTCAGCATTAGATTTCTGATTTTAAGGAGAAGTAAATCAGATGAAGAAGCAATCTTTCACCAGTAGATCGTGGATTAGATTCGAAGCAGTGACACGTGCTACAAGAAAACAAGAGTGATCTGATGAAGATCCTGCTTCTCTTGTGTGTTGACACTTCTCCGAGTCTGAGTCTGTTCCAACTTTGAAATGAGAATCAAAACAGGATCTTGGAAAATAAACTATTACTATGTTACCTCTAATACAAACAGAGAATTGAGCTTTCTGTAAGTCGTACCAGAGGATATTTGAATGA